TAGTTGGAACTACAGGCACGTGCCACCATGCCCAGCTAATTTTTTGATTTATTGTAGAGACGAGATCTCACCAAGTTGCCCAGGCTGGTCTCGAACCCCTGTGCTCAGGCAGTCCTCTCACCTCGGCCTCCCAAAGTGATGGAATTACTGGTTTGAGCCACCATGCCCAGTAGGAAGATGTTTTTAAAGATTCCTTTGGTTACAAAATGAAAAATTGATTGGATGAGCGAACGTACTGAGGGAGAAAGGCCAGCAAAGTGGTTCTCATAAGGCAGAGGAGAAATAACAGAGATTAGGATAGCACAGGATGGAGAGAAGAGGACAGATTTGAGAAAGTCCTAAAGGTAGACTCTAGAGGGCTTGGCATGTGACTGGGTGTGAGAAACAGAGTCACGGCCCCCTGCAACTGTCCATGTCCCAATCCCAGGAGCTTGGAAATATGCTGCCATTCATGGCCAAAGAGACTTTGCAAATGCAACTAAGAGTCTTGAAAGGAGAAGATTATCCTGGATGGTCAAAGTGAGCCCAATGTAAAACGAGGTTCAGTGTCACAAAAAGTAAGGCCAAGACTGCAGCAGAGGTTGGAGTGGTGAGAGGGAGGGAAGGACATGAGCCAAGGAAGGTGAACAGCCTCTAGACGTGGGAAGGGTCAAGGAGACAGAAGCTCCTCAAGTCCACAGAAGGAACGCAGCCCTGGGTAACCTTGGCTTGAGTTCATTAAAACCCATTTTGTACTAGCTAATACATGGTATTCTTTCTTTTTAGAAATTACGTTTTGCTCTGTTGCCTACAATGGTCTCAAACCCCTGGGCTCAAGTGATCCTCCTGCCTCAGCCTTCCGAAGTGCTGGGAATACAGGTGTGAGCCACCACACCCAGCTGGTAATACATGTGTGTTGTTTTAACCCACTAAGTTTGTGGTATCTTGCTATAGCAGCACTAGGAAATGAATTCACTGCATGTGGGGGTAAGGGTGAAGGGAGCATTGAGCACAAGGGCCTTGGACATCTGGGTGCCTATGACACATCCCACTGGATAGCTGGCCACATGGATCTGGTTCTCAGGAGAGAGGCTGGCTACCAGAGAGGGATTTGGGGGCATCTTCCAACGTTTTGTGATTGAAGCCGAGTGAGTGAACACATATTTGCTACTATTTAAGTGGGCAAGGAGGAAGGAGTGATTAAGAGCCAGAGCCCTGAAACCAGACAACCTAGCAGAGAAGGCAGTGCCCATCACTTCCTAGGGGAAGGAGCTCCATCCAGCTGCTTCACTCTTGCATGCACCAGCACCCTCATTTGTAGAAGGGAATAATAATGGCACCTCCCTGCCTGTGACTATCATGAGGATCATATGCATAAATATACAGAAAGTGCTCGGTGCTGGGCTGGGTGCAGGGTAAGTCTTATATGTTAACTGTTTTTGTGGTTATTATTATTATTATCATCATCACCCACTTTAATGCGTTTGTTTTCTTATTTAAGAGTAACTAGTTCTGCCAAAGGAAATAAGAGAAACAAACATGGTGAGGAAGATAAAGTAGAAGCAAGTCCTGTGAGAGGTAAAGTAGGCCGTGCATACACGCTCGGAACGTGGAGGAGGAGGCTTGGAAGGACCCAGGAGGCACCAAATACTCTCGAGACACTAAATATTCACGAGGCACAGGAGACACTCGATATTCAGGAAGTCCTAAAATGACACCCACTGGTGACACCCACACAGGCTGCACTTGGTCTCTACCCAAGAAACGCAGATAGAAGCCACAGCTATCCATCAGGTGACAGGTGAACTAGAACTATAGCCAGGCACGCTTGCTCCTTGGCTTCCTGATAGAGCAAGTATGTGTTGGCACCAGTACCTTCTGTGTGCCAAACCCCCTCGTTCAACTTCATCTGTGGTCCTTGTTCCTAAATCATCATCAGGGAAGAAGGATGCAGGTAAGAGAGAGAGAGAGAAAGAGACAAAGACAGAGGGAAACAGAAAGGGGAGCAGGGAGGGAGGGGAAGAGAGGAGGGGAAGAGAGAAGGAGAGGAAGAGGAGCAGAAAAGAGGAGAGGAAGGGAGAGAGCCAGAGAAGATCTATGCATAATGTGTAAAATGTATCACCTGCTAGCACCCTATCCTAAGTATGTTAATCTACCCTCTTTCTCTGTCTTCTTACTGTGTGGTTTAAACTGCTTCAATAAGCCTTGTGATTTCAACATCTTAATTCTGTCTGCCTGCTTGGAGACTAATTTCCCACACCACACCCACTGGGTAGCTCACGGTGGGAGGAAGGAAGGTACGAGGGAGTGTAGGATCACTTTTTTTTTTTTACACATACTTGTATCTTCTCCTTAGTAACATTGATTTATCTTGTGTTTTAAAAGTGAAGGAAAATTTAAATATCATATTTAGCGCGTATATGAGTTGGAACAACAGCAAAAAACCTCAACTTGCTAAATACAAGGAATGTGGCTGCCAGGAAAAAATTCCTGCTCTGCCCAGGTCTGTTGAAACAAAGCTTTCTCCTCAGCTGACCCTTGAGGCACCCCTGTCCTACAGGAAACAGAAATGCCAGCTGAAGTCCCTGGATGCTGGAGTGTCCCTCTTCAACCTGGAGCTGCCTTGTAGACCAAGAACTGCCCTGTCTCTCCAAGTTCCCTCCAGACGCAGGAGAGAACCCGAACCTTGTTAAATCTGGAGTCTGTTTGCTTCCTTCCTTTCCTTTTTCTGCCTTTTTAAGAGTTGCTTCTTCCATAGCTGGGCAGATAAGAATGATACGTAAGTGATGACAGCTACCAACTGGGTACAACAGTTCCAAATAATTCAGAGGGAAGCAGCCTCCTCCAGGCCACGCCAGACCACGGTCTGTCATTCTTTGAGTCCAGCAACCACTTCAGTCTCTTTGGAAACTCTAGTATTCACCCACCTTTGTTTGACTTTTATGTGTCAATATTGCAAGTAGATTTATCTTGAGACTAATGTATGAGGGGGAACCCTCCAAAAATGTATCAAAAATTGTGCACTTATTCGTACCTGTTTAAACTTCAGTCACCTTCAAAGTACACTCTGATGCCATTCACCTATCCAGACATGTTTTCTACTGCTCAGTTTTTGAACTCATCAATTTTGATGCCTTTTACTGCTTCTGCCGTTTTTTGTTTCACCTCTTCCATATCAGCCAAACGTTTCCCTGTGAGGACTTTTTTGTCATGGGGAAACAAAAAAAGTTACTTAGGGTGATATTGGGTGAATAGGGAGGGTGGGGCACGGGGTCAGGCCATTTGGGGTCAAAAACCGCTGAACACTCCGTGTGGTGTAGGCAGTTGTGCTGGTAGATCACCCATCATTCAATGGACGCATACGTTCAAAGAATCTCCAAAAAAAAATTCACTGAGGCCAAATGCAGCCTCTTACAACAACATTATCTGGTACATGATAGAACACTTAACTAGCGGGTGACGCCTGTACTACAGGGGCCGGCCCTCTGAAAAGATAATTCCGGTTTTTTGGGGGTCCTCTTGCAGGTTAAGGTTCAGGAGGGGCCTAGAAACTTTGTAATTGTTTTCTTCTCCCTAAAGAGGGACTCCACAGTGGGAAGCTTAAGGGCCTGTCCAATTCTCATCAGTATGATTTCAAAGTGAAGAGCTTAAATCTGGGACATACAAGAAGCCAGCTCTCCCTCTTGGGATACAGTAACTTTGGACAGGTTACATTAACTCTCAGTCCTGGTTTCCTCGGTTGTAAATGGCAAACAAGTTACCTATACCCAGGGGATTATGGTAAGGCTTAAACAGTACTAAACCAGTGCTTCACAGACAATCAATGTTGACAGTATGTTAGCTACCAACGTCACTTTTGTTGTCAGAACAAGATCTATCACAGGCTCACAAGCACACATGCTGAGGGAATTT